CTTGGGAAGCTGAGGCATGAGCATCACTTGAACCTGGGAGGTGGAGGTTACAGTGAACCAAGATTGAGCCACAGCACTCCAGCCTGGGTGACAGAGCAATATCCTATCTCAAGAAAAAAAAAAAGTTCTGCCATTTGAAAGGCTGTGTTAAGGGAATAAAAAGAAAGCCATAGTTCAAATGAAAATCCTAGCACCCCTACTTTTGTACAAATTGAAGAATCAACTTCGATTTGTACAAAAACAGGGCTGCTGGGATTTTCATTTAGACTGCATTGCATCTGCAGATCAATTTCAGGAGAATAGGCAGCTTAACATCATCGACTCTTCCTAGCCACAGACTCAGAGAATATATTTGCAAATTGTATGTTGCAGGCTGAAGAATGGCCCCAAAGCCCATCGACCATACGTGGCAAAATGCAGATGAGATGAAGGGTCGTGACCCGGGGAGATGATCCTGGCTTCTCTGAGTGGGCCTGATGTAATCTCAAGGGTCCTTCTAAATGGGGAACAGTAGAGTTAGGGTCAGGGAGGAAAAGGAGGCAATGAGGACAGAAGCCAAGGTTGGAGCCACACTCTTTGCAGATGAAGGGAGGGGCCATGAGTTATCATGCAGCAGTCTCTAAAAGCTGGGAAAGTCAATGAAGCAGATTCTCGTCAGAAGCCTCCAGAAGGAACCCAGCCCTATCGACAACTTGATTTTAGGCTTCTAACTTCCACAACTGTAGAATAATAATTTTGTGTGATTGTAAGCCTCTAAGCTTGTGGTAATTATCTTACAGCAGCAATAGGCTCTCATGCATCACATACAGTTGATAAAGGAGTAGTACTCAGAACACAGAGAGAACTCTTCAAACTCAGTAAAAACAAAACTAACCCTCGAATTAGGAAAACAGGCACACGATGTGAAAGGATGCTTCATTGAAGAAGATCTATGGATATATAGCAAATAAGCCTATGAAAAGATGCTCGACATCATTAGTCATAAGGAAAATGGAAACAAAACGTGATGAGACGTCACCACACCCCTGTGAAAATGGCTCAACCTGAAAAGACTGACAATACCCAGTGCGGACAAGGATGTGGAAGACCAGCCTCTCTTGCACTGCTGGATGAAGCAGGGCAGCGTTTTTGGAAAACCGCTTTGCAATTTCACAAAAAGCTAAAAACATACCTGCTGATATGGTTTGGCTGTATCCCCACCCAAATTTCAAATTGTAGCTCCCATAATTCCCATGTGGGAAGGACATGGTGGGAGGTAATTGAATCACGAGGGCGGGTCTTTCTTGTGCTGTTCTGGTGACGGTGAACAAGTCTCACGAGATCTGATGGTTTTATAAAGGGGAGTTTCCCTGCACACGATCTCTCTTGCCTGCTGCCAGGCAAGACGTGACTTTGTTCCCCCTTTGCCTTCTGCCATGATTGCGAGGTCTCCCCAGTCATGTGGAACTGTGAGTCCACTAAACCTCTTTCCTTTATAAATTACCCTGTCTTGGGTATGTCTTTATGAGCAGTGTGAGAACGGACTAATATACCTACCGGACAATCCAACAATTTCCAAGCCTGGATATTAACCCAGGAGAAATGAAACCATATATCTACACAAAGACCTGTGCACAGAGGTTCATAGCAGCCCGGTTTGTCGTGGCCCCAGCTGGAAGAAACCTAAATGTCCATCAACACCGGAATGGATACACAGCTGTGGTCCATCCACACACAGAGTATGACTCCGCTGAACGGATACACAGCTGTGGTCCATCCACACACGGAGTGTGACTCTGCTGAATGGATACACAGCTGTGGTCCATCCACACACGGAGTATGACTCTGCAGTGAAAGGAAACGAACCGCTGTGCACAGCACAACATCATGACCCTTAAAATAGGTCTGCCGAGGAGAGGAAGACAGGCAGCAGAGAGTGGATAGGATATGATTTCACTCATAAAATATCTTAGGAAAACAAGCTGTAGTGACAGAGACAAGTGCAGACATTGCCTGGGGACACAACGAGTGGGGCCGGATGGGGCTGGAATTGCAATGAGGAAGCGTCTGGGGGTGATAGATCTGTTCCTTGTCTCAACTGTGGTGCTGGTTTCACGGGTGCATCCTCTGTCAAGCGACTCAAGTTGTACACTTCAAAGCCTTGTAGCTTATTCAACGTCAAGTACACCCCTGTAGGCTCTTAGAAAAGAAACTCCTATGGGACCCAGAGCATAAGCTTTCTGATGGCTCTCGGGGGCCTTTCGTTTCAGGCGAGGGGCAGCCAGGACTCCTGCCCATCACAGTCCTCCACCTGCCCACAGACCCACATCCTCCCTCTTGGCACTGGGTTCCAGAAGGAGCTCGGGAGGGGCCGGGCAGGGAGCCCAGTGCCCACTCTGCACAGCTCCCTGGTCCCAGAGGGTCTAGGGCCCCAGAGCCAGAGAGAGGCGAAGAACAGAGGAGTGGGTGTGGGCTCAGCATGCGATCACAGGGGAATGAGCACGCAGCAGCAGCACAGCGCTGCCCCACTCCTCTCTACTTCCTGCCCTTTTCTTGGTCAGGATGACGAGGTGACCCGGCGAGTGGGACCCTCGAGATGCCAGGCATGTGCCCCCCATCAAACTGCCAAGCAGGAGGACACAGGGATGGCCCAGACAGTGGCCCCCAGACCAGGATGCGGTCAGCGATCCCAGAAACCACACGCCATGAAAACCACACTCAGTGGCCAAGCTGTGGGAATCCATAGCAGAGACAACCCATTCCACCAGTCCTCAGAGCTGAACACCGGGTTGGACAAGGAATACGGTCCTGCCTGATTCGGATCACACGTTCTGAGTAAATTGTAGAAGAGGGGCAACCGTAATAAAACCCAGGCCTGCCCACTCAGGGTCTTTCGTAGTGCTCAAATAAATACATAAAAATACAAGGCATATTAGAAAATAAAACACGCTTTGGGCAAGGAAACTAAAAACCATGTCGGCCGCAGTGGGAACGGGGTCACCCGGCTCCGGGGTCAGAGGGCAGCGCCTTTGGGTGGGGAATGGAGAGAGGGCACCACCGAGCCCAGTTCTGGTGCTGGAGGAGCCCTGTGCAGTGAGGATTCTGACCCACTTAAGGGAGGAGGCTCCAAGCGCACAAGCTGCCTTCTGCCAGCTTCCCTCCCGCCTCCCTCCCACCCCACCTTCGTCCTGATACCTCTCCCTCCTCTGGGGCTCGGCGTCCTCTCCCCTCCCCTGGGAGCATCTGTGATGACTCAGAGTCTGGGGGCTCACACCGTGCTCTCCGAGTCCCCCTTCCTTTATCACAGCACAGCAGCTGTGCGATCAGCGGTGGGTTGGCTGTCCCCCCGCGGGGCCGGGCTCTGTGCTCAGGGTGGGGTCCCCCTTGCTCACCGTGGCTGCTTGGGGCTCCGTACGGGAGGCACCCAGGGCACCCCCGAGAACGCTCATTGCTGCTACTCAGGCACGGCCTCCCTCCACGGAGGTAACGTGGGCTCGGCACCCCCCAGGGGCGCAGCTGAACTCAGAGGCCAGGTGGTGGAGCGGCAGGGAGTGGCAGGCGTCAGGACCCCCAGGGTGAAGGCTGGGGCTGGGAATTTCTGGGCACCCCCTGGCCCTTGCCATTCCCAGGTCTATACTCAGCCCTCCCAGTGAGCCATGGACCCCTGCACCCACACTAGGGCCGGGTGGACAAGGCTCCAGGCAACGGAGTCACAGCCGTGGGGCTGCGAGACCTGCTGCCTCAGCGGGGACAATGTGCTGGCGGCCGCTGTCTCCCACACGGAGCTGCGGCCAGAAGAACTCGGGGAAGCCGGCATCCAGTGTCCCACGGCACGGGGTTTGCCAGGTGCCACCAGCCACCTCCACATTAACTCCTTCAGGCCAGGATGTCCCTTGGGCAGAGGAACCCTGCCTAGTCCAGGAGCTGTCCGCGGGGGGAGTCCAAGAGTAGACAGAAGGACCACCAGAGTCAGATCCGATTCATCCTCCCAGGCATGGGGCAAACTTGCCCCATGTGAAGCCCCCTAACAACAGGAATTTGTGGGCCCCCCACCTCCTGCAGCTGTCTGTGCCCCTTATGCAGTCTATGGGTGCTTGCAGACAGCAGGAGCTCAGGAACAGTGCGGTGCCCATCTGAGGGGCCTGTTCCGTGATCACATAGCCCTCACCTGCACCAGGAGCGCCTGAGAGCAGGAGCCAAGGCTCCTCCATGCTCCGCACACCCTCCCCTGCGGGCCTCAGCCCCTCGAGGCCTCTGCTAGAGGCTTATGGATCCCTGTAGGTCACAGGTTGAGAAGAGTCATCTGCACAGCGGCCACACTGGGCCTGCCAGCATTTCCACCTGGCGAGTTGAGTGGAGCAGAGAAAAGGCAGAAGGAAGCCTCGGAGAGACTAACAGAAGCAAAAGCAAAGCCAGGGGCCCAGAGAGGGCCCTGAGTTCCAGAGGTGGGGACGGGAGCCTGCAGGGGTCTGAGCCCTCTCCAGGAGAGACAGACTGAGGCTGGGGAGAACCCTCCATCCTCTGCTGGGTCTGGGCTTAGGGCAGCTGGTCCCAGGAGAGGGCCTGCTTGGCTGACTAGGAGAAAAACAGGTGGTGTCAGGCCTTATGCAACCCACGGTTTTGTGGGCTCAGCCTTCCGGCTACTTCCAAGAGGAAATGCTTGAGGGAGGAGGACCTTTCCCTCTCCCGTGGTCTCAGATCCGTCTCACCCACTTGCCTCCTTCAAATCTTTGCTTCATTCTTGATGAGGGATTCACGCGCACGCAATCACCTTTGGTACAACAGGGGACCCTAGGAGGCAGGTGGCAGGAAGCCCCGGCAGGGGGACCAAGTGGGCAGAGCAGGGGCCAGGCAGCCGAGGTCAGGTGGCTGTGAGTGCAGGGGTCAGCGAACACTCTCTGTAAGGGACTGATTAACACACAATTTAGGAGTTGTCAGTCATATGGCCTCTGTCCCAACTACTCTATTCTGCCTGGCGTTTGGAAACTGCCAGAGATGATAGAAACCAACCAGAGACAATATGGAAGCCATGGGAATGGCTGTGCCGATAAAACTTTATTCACCAACAGGCAGGGTGGCCCTGCTTTGTCTTAGCCAGTGGGAAACCCCCTCAGCCCTAGGGCATCTGATCCACCCACAGGGCCAAGTCGCAGGGAAGCAAGGACGGATGAGCAGCACAGTGGCATGGCCAGTGGTCAGGGCAGGGCAAATAGCCATGGCATTCCATGATCGCCTGTGAGGCAAGCAAGCACTGACAGCTGCCGTGAGGGAGGCACACTGGGGCTTCGCCTAACCTTGCAGACGGGAGGCAGGGGGCTGGACGCTGGCACTGGGCGCAAAGCTCTGTGGGCCATGCCTACAAGGGACTGGTGGGAGCTCCCTCTTTCCATGAGGATGGGGGCCACGATCCCCACGTTGCCCTCTTGGTGAGGGCTGAGGGATGCGCTCCTCCAGCCAGGGTTCGTGGAGAGACGCTCTGACCTCAGCGCCGGGCTAGGTGGGCCGCACCTTCATCTCCGACACCTTGTAGCTGTAGTTGTACCCTTTCCCCGAATTCCAGTTGATGCCATTTGCAAAGCTGTCATGGGCCCCCCCGAGGTAGCCACCATTCAGGTTTGACAGGTGACAGGTGGCATACCACCAGGCTCCCTGATAGTGCACAGCACAGTTTTTAGCATCTTGGTCGTTGTCTCGGTCTTTGGTGGAGAAGGGGTAGTTGTTGTGGTATGTCAGAGAATCACCTGCTCAGAGGGAAAAGTAGGGCATTTTCCATGAAGTGCCAGGGAGCCTGGATCCTAGGTCCAGTGCAGAGCTGCCATGGCCAGGAGCCCATGTTGTGCACTGCACAACTCCAAGGGGCACCACCCAGTGAGCATGCGCTCTGCTGGGACGGCAGCTTTGGCATCTCCTCGCCTGGTCTGCTCAGCCAGCTAACAGGCATTGCTACACTTGGAGACCGCCTGGCTCTGGGTGGGGCAGCAGAGGGGAAGAGTGACTTCCGGCAGAGTGTAGGGATTCAGTCTTTGTAGAAATAGACTTATCATCTTCCCCATTTTTCATCAATAATGGCAGCAAATAATCATAGCCACTATGTGTTGTACTTTTTATGACATGTGGATCATAATTTGCACAAGTACAATAAACTGGGTGAATTGACGGATGAACAGATTGTGGGTTTGTGGGTTGGACAGGTTAAGTCACCCCCCAATGTCACACAGCAGAGGCATAGCCAGATGCTGAGCACGCTGTCTCCCCTTCCCCAGCCCCCCTCAGAGGCCCAGGCCACTCAGCCCGCACAGACACTCACCCGCGCTGCCCTCCACAAAGGTCCCCAGGACCAGCTTGTACTTCTCCGCCTCACTGGCCACCTTGAATGATCTGTACTTAGCAAACTGGCGATTGCCCTCAAAATCCACCAGGTCTACACGGAGTTCGCTGGTTCCTGTGGGAGAAAGGTTTGAAGCTCCCAGCCCAAGGGCCCTTCTGCCTCCAGGAACCGGAGGTGGGAATTGGAGTGTTTTCAGATGCCTGAACTTGTGATCCACGGAAAGCTTCCTCAAGTTCATGCAGAAAGTCGTCTGTGGTAGGAGGGATTGGGAGGACCTACTCCCTCAGGTCCACCCGCTGAACCTGGAGTTTCCCCCCTCCTACAAATATCACTTCACTTCATCAAGGAACCGTGCATTTCCCTGGAATGGGCTGTGAGGTCACCGATCCTCACTGTGGGAAAGTACTGCAGTCCTTCCTTGACGTGGAAAGGTCACAGCAAACACGAGGAGGTGGCTTAGGAGCTCGGAATGGGCTCCTGCGGAGGAAAGGGACCATTTTCCAGTTTCCCCAGGATCAGGGACCAGCTGATACGCTGGAGCTGGTGGCGGGAGGATGAAGGTGCTGTCCTCACTCCTGCTGAGGGCTATGGCCTGGCTGGAGGAATGAGAGGAGGCCCAGAGAGGAACCTCCCCCTGCCCCTGAGACCGCAGCTTTAGGAAGGGGAGACAGTGGGAAGTGAAGTTAGGGCTGGGGGTTGGGCCAAACCCCGATGGTCTCTCTCTTTGCATGCTCAGGATCTGAGATGCCAGTGGGGCCAAGACCTGAACAGGCCTTCAGTCCAGAGCTCTACCCTCTCCTGTCCTGATGCCGCCACAGCCTGCGGCAGGGGACGCAGCCCTCGGAGGTCCCAGTGCTACCCTGAGTGTGCTCAGGGCCCGATCCCCTGTGGACTAAGAGGCGCTTCTGTTCCAGGCAGCCCAGGCCTAAGGGGCAGGGGCACCCCCATTCAGGACCCCTTGACCCCCAAGCCCCAGCAGCGGCCCTACCCTGGGCGGTCAGGGCGTGGATGTTGTCGTTCCCCAGCCAGAACTCCCCCAGCCGACTGCCAAAGCCCTGCTTGTACGCGGCCCAGTCCCGGTAGAAGTCCACGGAGCCGTCCACCCTCCGCTGGAAAACCTGTGGAGGAGCCAGGGGACGGGAGCCAGGCGGGGCAGGCTGACGTCCCACAGCACGGGGGACCCGCCCTCCAGAGGAGCAGCATTTGTAGTTGGCAGAGCGTCGCAGGCTGGGGTCCCCAGCACGCCCACCTGGTCTCCTCACAGACCCCACGGGATGAAGGAGGAAATGGGGGCTCAGAGAGGGGAGGCAACAAGCCCCAAGCCACACAGCAGGAGAGCACCAGGCCCCTCCCAGCCTCCCCCACGGCCTGGACTTTTACCCACGGGTCATCTCCCCCATCATCTCTGTCCCCGACCAGGGGAATAGAGAATTCCAGAGTGTGTTCTCTGGCCAGGTGTGCAGCCTGGACTCCGGGTCTCCCAGGTTGACTGCCTCTGCCCAGGGTCCCTCAGCCCCACACTCACAGTCCAGCCCCCTCCGTCCGTGTCCATGTCACAGAGCACAGTCAGGGGCCGGCAGTCAGGCAGGTAGATGGTGTACCAGCCGCTCAGGGAAGGCCCACGGCCTAGCAGGTCCTTGCAGGTACGTGGGCCTGGGAAGGGAACCCAGGGAGTGGCTACAGGACGGGAGCCCCTGGGCAGGGCAGGGGCAGTGGGAGGGAGGCCCGGGAGGGAGGAGCAGGGCCACAGGCTTCTGTGTGGACAGAGCAGGACTCCCAGGCCTGGACAGGGACATGGCCCCCAGCGTCATGCAGCTGTGATGGCCACACTCAGTCTGCCTGACCCTCCCACCTCCTATTGCTTCCCCCATCTTCACCTCCCGGGAACCTGGCCTTTCGGGTACATTCCAATTTTCTTTGTGGCACACAACCATGAAAGCCATGCCCTGCTCCTTCCAGGGGCATCTGCCAGGGAACCAGTCACCCCTGTCCTGTGGATCTGGCCAGTGCAGAGAGGGAAGAAAGGGCAGAGGCCTCGGGCTGGGATTGCACAACATCCCAATGCTGCCCGGCTCCTGGTGGGTGCAAGTCGGGGTGGGTTGGGCTGGGTTCCATAGGACAGGTGGAGCGGGAGGATCCTGGGGCCTGCCACCCACCTGTGTTACATTGATCAGATTCCCAAGCGTCTCCTGGAGATGCGGACAGACAGGCAAACACACAAAGAGTTGGAAGTCAGATAACTTGTCCCCAGCACAGAGCAGAAGATGGTGGCACTTGCCTCACTTTCCTGGCATGCAGGTGGCCACTGCCCTCCAGAAAAGCTGCCAGTGCCCATGGTCATCTGGGGTAACTGTGGCCCTTCTTGTCCCTGGAGGCAGCAGAGTCACTGTGCCTGCGTTCATTGGCCCCTTCCTCCTGCCACCTGTCTAAGCTAGAGGGAACTTGGTGCTTCAGGGCTCCCCTGAGCCCCCAGAGGCTCCAGCGTGGCCTGTGTTTGTAGATGCGGCACGAAGGGTGGGGTGAGGTGGGGTCTGGGCAGATAGGCATTTATTTACATTTAGAGGCAAAGTATGACGGAGCCTCCAGGTCAGTGAGAGAGAAGACTCCTCTCACAGCGCAACCAGGACGGCTCAGAGCAGCTCGGGGGTGAACGGAGGCGTGAATGTGGGGCTGCTTTCCCTGCAGCACGTCACTCTGGTTTTTCTAAATAATCTGTAAACACGTGCCTCAGAAAATGCGTTCTATTTTATATATTATACACACATAACAGATAAATACATAGTATTTCTATCTGCGTGGGATGCATAGATTTCTATTGGAAGGTATCTAATGTATGTTTACACATTCTCTCTGATCAGAGCTTGTCATTAATATTCCCTGCCCACTCTGGCCAACCTAGGTTTTGAAACAGTGCCCCCAAATGACAACACCTGCAGGGGGCAGGAGACAAGAGGCGGCAGCACAGGGCCTCCTGCCTAGTGAGATGACAGGTGAGATGGGATGAGAGGGGCTGGCAGAGGTGAGCAGACAACCCTGACCCACCCACCCCAGCTGATGCTGACCTTAGACGGGGAAGGCTTGGTCTCAGACCCACCCACAGGTGGATGCTCTGGCACTGAGAACCTCCCCCAGACTGAGACCCCTCCCCCAGGCTGAGATCCCTCCCCCACACTGAGACCCCTCCCCCACACTGAGACCCCTCCCCCAGACTGAGACCCCCTCCCCCACACTGAGACCCCTCCCCCAGACTGAGACCCCTCCCCCACACTGAGACCCCTCCCTGTGAGACCCCCTCCCCCACACTGAGACCCCTCCCCCACACTGAGACCCCTCCCCGTGAGAACCCCTCCCCCACACTGAGACCCCTCCCCCACACTGAGACCTCTGCCCTGGACTGAGCCCCCAGAGTCCTTCCTGGACAGGCATGGGCTCTGGTGAGGACAGTATGGCAGCCCCAGAGGTCTCATCCATGCTCCTCTGCAGCTGAGTCTGGAAGGGCCTCACAGCCCCTCCTCACTCTCATCTCCTCCTTACCCTTGGGCGCGGGTGGTCCTGCCTTCCCAGGGGGTCCAGGGGGGCCGCGTTCTCCTGCAAATTCCAAAGACACCACCTTAAACAGAGCTCCCTGCCCAGGACCCGAAGGACCCACCCTGGAGCTGGCGGCTATGACTCTTCCTGTCATGACTGGGATCCTGTTTGTGCTGCGATATGACCGTGGCCCCACCTGAGCTTGCCTGCCTTGCACCAGAAGGTTCTAGACGGAGGACCCAGGCCTCACGAGGCTCTCCTGTCCACTCAGGGGCCGGGAGCCCTTCCCAGAGAACATAGGTGGATCCTGGCTCTTCCCCTTCCAGGCATGAGCACCTGAAAACGTTTCCTCACTTCCCTTAGCTGCAGGTTCCTCCTCTGAAGCTGGTCCCTGGGAGACGTTTAGCCCCACAGCCCAGGTGAGAACAGGGACTGGGAATCAGAGTCCTGCAGGGGGCCACACAGCAGATGGTAGGTGAGGACTGAAACCAAGTTTTCTGCCAAAACACCCACTGGGCACTCATTAAGTCATTAAAAGATGAGCACCCCACTAAGGCCTTTTCAGAACGCCCACTGGGCCCTGGGAGTCAGCTCTGTCCCTGGCTCTAACAGGGGCCAGACCCAGGCTCTCAATCTGTGAACCATGGTGGGGGTGTTGCCCAACTCAGCATCTAGCTTCAAAAAGAGCAAGAGCCCGTGCCCCCGCCATGCCTGGCCTCCCCACCCGGCCCGCACCTACCTGTCTTTCCATTGGCGCCTGCCTCTCCCTTTGGCCCTGGGGCCCCGGGCAGCCCCGGGCAGCCTCGGAGAATGGTGAGCTTGTCAGAGCCCTCCAGGCCCACCACCTTCACCTCTGCAGAGAAACACAGGCGCCCACTCAGTGCCTGGCCCAACAGTGGCTGGAAAGTGAGGTTTTCTGCTCTGCTGGGGCCTTGGTCTGTCCTCACCCCTCGGGCACTGGTGAGGCGGAGACGTGATGGGGGGAAGAGTCCTGGCGTTGGAGGCCACCCCTACCTAGGGGAGCCCCATCTCCTCAGTGCTGTGTGTCCTGGGGCAAGTCACTTAACTCCTCTGAGCTTTGTGCTCTGGGCTACGAAGTGGGGATAATAACAAGGCTGTGGCCAGGGCTGTATTAGAGAATGTGCATTTTAGTCTCTTAGTGTAATTCGTGCCATTTAGAAAGAGCTTAATAAACAGTGAGCTCTTGCAGTAACCAATGACAATCAATGTTTCTAAGAAACTTGGGGAATTGAGGCTCACAAAGCATTTTCCCTTCCAGACCTTGGGAATGTGGTTGTGGAATTACTGGGCTGGAAGGGGCCTTCTAGGTCCTCTGGAAAGGGGCAGTGTGGGGTCCAAGGACACAGAGCCAGGTATGGCGCAGCTGGAGCCAAACTGAGGGTTTTCTACTTCCTTGAAAAAATATTTTTCATGTTGTTGATTATGAAATCAATATGCCCTGCTAAGGGCGCTCTTAGAGACTGGGGAACGGAGCAGCGCTCTCACCAGAGACACGGCAGCTGCCACTGCTTGGTGGATTTTTTTTTTAATCTGTCCTCACCCCTGGCTCACTGGTCAGAGCAAGTGTAGATCACTTTTTTATTTGCTTCATTTTTCTCATTAAAAAAGAATACTTGGTAATGTTGGATAATCTGGAAAATAAGACATGTTTGGGGGATAAAAGTTAACTCACTCATAACATAACCAGCGAAGGGCCTCTGTGGTGTGCATTTTCTTCCTAGCCCCACTCGGGGCCTTTCTCCACGGGACCCATCATTGCCCTGGTCCCCTGGTCCCCTGGTCCACCACGAGCAGGCTCAGGCCATGGGGCCCACCAGGGTTTTTGGAAGCCATCCTGTGTTCTGAGTTCAGAGCAATGTACTCCAGCGTGGCCACGATGCAGGGGGGCCCAGAGCCTCCCCCAGAAGGCAGAGCTACAGGTGGAGCTGCTGGGAATCACCTGAGTGCCCCCAGGAGCTCAGGGAAGGAGGTCTGGAGCCCTGGGGTCACATCAGCCTCACTGGACTACATCAGGGACACAGTGGGGACCACCTGTCCCCAGTGCCGGGCACATCTCAGGCCAAATTCCCCGCAGAGCTGGAGCTTGACTTTGCTGGCCACATCCAGCGGGGTGGTCTTCCAGTGACACGATCGTGGCACAGACTCTGACTAGGCCCACCCCCCACCAGCGCCCTGTACGCCCGCCGCCTCCTCACACAGCTGGTGGGACTCTCAGGACGGCCCTTCAATGGAGGAGGATTCAGCCCCAGGGAGACTCCCCAGTTGCATGCTCTGAATTTGGGACCTGGCCCATTTGACCCCAGGGCTCTGTTCCTAACCCCTGTGTTAGCTGCATCTGTTTCTTTGAGCCTCTGTCTCCTCTTTAAAGTGCGAGGCTTAAAACGAGCTGTTGAGAAACTAAGGCAGGAACCTTCACAAAGGGCGTAGTACCGGGCCTGGCGTGCCGTGAGTGGTCAGCAGGTGGCCGCTGTCAGCTTCCCGGAGTGTGATCGCTCTAAGGTCCTAACCCCCGGGGGGACTGACTCACCTGGACAGGTGTCCTCAGTCAAGGCTGTGGTCCACAGGAAGGAGAGGGCGAGGAGAGCAGGTCCCATGGCCACGGCAGCTTGGCTCAGCCTTTGTGGCTCTGGTCTTTGCCACTGAAGGAACTCCGTGGTTCTTATAGGGTTGCAGCCGCCCACTGTAACCTCTGTCTCCATTTCCCAACCACAGTGGGGAAGGCCACTCCCTCCTGACAGCTTGGTGGCACCAACTGGCGGCTGAGACAGCCTCAGGGCTGCTGCCTTCCGCAGGCCCCACAGGCTTCCCACTTAACGAGCCTGGCTTCCCCTGGCAGGGATGCTCTGCCCAGCAGAAGGCTCCCTGAGGCCGGTGTGGAAAGGGCCTGCCTGTTTGTGTCTTTAGGGAAAGCTTGGCGGGAACACTGCCTGAGGCCCGCAGCAGGACAGAAGGGCTTGTGGAATCCAGCCCTTAAGGAGATAACTGGCCGAGAAGCTGCTGTGAGTCCACAGAAATTTAGGAACATCCACTGCGGTCTGAGGTGATTCCCAGGGGAGGGAGAGGGACGCAGGACGATTACCAGGGACCTCCCTGGGCCAGCGTGCAGGGAGTTGGTTCCAACCCTAGAGGACATTGGCTGGAGAAAAGTGGTATGAGCAGACCAGGAGCCTTGCCAAGGAGTGGCACGCTGGCACTGGATCAGGCTCCCGTCCAAGCCAGTGCTGCAAAGAGGCAGGACTGTGAATGAGACGGAAGCAGCTTCAGGTGGGAGCGGGGGCAGGGGTGGGGAAGGGTGGCACGCAATTGCTCGCAGGGGCCACTGGACACCTGCCCCCTGAACAGGGGAATTGGTGAATTGGCCCCAGTTTCAAAGTGAGGTTATCCACACCTCTTAGAGGAAAGCAAAATCCTGAAGCAAATGCTAGCCTTGGATTCAGTCCCATCAGGGAGAAGTGGCAGGCTGTGGCCCTAGTTGCACCACCACTGGTCCCTGTGCAGGTGTCAGAAGGGTTAGAATCATGACCCCAGGTGGAAAAAGCCTTGTGAGGTTCCTCCATGGCAGACCAGCTCTATGTCCCTGGCGTCCTATGGGCCTGAAAACACAAAGCCATTCAAAGGCCTCGACTCTGACCGTGCCAGACCCAGTGTGAGCAGAACGTGGCTGGGAAGGGCAGGCTCCCAGGGGTGTGTGGAAATGGAACTCAGAGATGTGGCCTCCCTCCTGGCACCTCCTCTTCTCACCGAAGTGCCATGGGCAAGACTCACACAGAAACAGTGAACCCCTCAGAACTGGTAGCTAAAAGCCCACAGCAGGCTGCCCGGATTCCCTGGCCATTAGTCACCTGGGCTCCCTGAGTGGAGACGGCCTCCTGGGTAGGTGTGCGTTTCTTCTAAAGTCTAGACAGGATCGAGAAATTGAATTTCATAGTATGAATATTTTAGCATAAAGCAATCTATGCCAATTTGGTATTTTGAGGAGTGGAGAATTTGGCCTATGTCAGTGACACCCTGATAATCCAATTGAAAGTGTGAAATCGAGGAATTGAATGAGTTAGTGTGTACAGTTTTGGAACATTTAAGAGACCTCCCCTAAGTTCATCACAGTCATATGTTTAAATTATTAGATTTTGAAAAACTAGTTTATACACAGAAGGCTTTGCTAAAGGTAGAAAGCTGAAGTACTAAAGCATCAATTTAAACATATTCATTTTGGAAGTGCAATCAAAATGTTCAAAACTATTAAATGAACTAAGTCGGTGATGGACCAAGAATTATTCACAGGCCTCATCAAGGACGTTATTAACATTTGCCTGTTACAGGTAGAACAAGGTTTATCCGCCAAATTTCAAGTCTCAAGGAAGCACTGGACTTTTGAAATTGGGATTTTAATACATTGAACAAATTACATTTGACTCGAACTTTTTAAAAAACGAAGTAATCCACAGAGTAATCTCTGTGTGAGAAATAAAAGTAAGCAATAAAATACTATGGAAGGAACCACCCATATCACCAGGACCGGGCACAGGTCGGCTGCTGGGTCTCTGAAGGCATTTTTGCTAAGGATGAGAAAACGGGGTCCAAGGAGCTCCCTAAGGGTCTACAGATGCTCCTGCCCCACCCCCGGCCTCCCTGTGGGTGCTCCATAGCATCATTCCTTGCGTCAGCACACAAGGATTTGGCTTCCAACTGTTGTGGTCTCACAAGTATGAGAGAAAAAGGGCTTGTGTTTAATAAACACTTACTACGTGCCAGGTACTGTTTTATGCCCTGTGGTGCAGTAAGGAACAGAAAGACCAGTCCTTGTGCCCTAGACACCTGTTCTATTGAGGGCAAACAGAAAATAACCAACTAGACAAACAATCGAACGAATGCATAATTATGATATCAGATCATATATCTCAAGAAAGCAATGTGGGCTGCAAAGTAAATATGAGTAGAGAGTATTATTAAAGTAAAGCAAAATGAAACAGCTATCTCAGTGGCTACACACACGCACATACTCACACACTCACATGCACATACACACACACCCACACGCATGCACACACACACATTTATTTGTTGCTGTCATAAAAGTACAGGGTGAGTGCCCCTGGCCAGACATCTCTCCTTCCACAGTGATTCCAGGTCCCCAGCTTCTTCTAGCATGTGGCTCTTCCCTCTTCCGTATGTGGCCCCTGTCCTGAGCGTGGTCTCCATTCCAGCCACTTGGAACTGGAAGAGAGCATGGGGGAGCCTGTGGCAGGGGCTTCTGGTGACTTCCTGGTGCCTAATGGTGATGATGCACTTCCCTTCCACTCATTGTCCCTTGGCCCGACCTACACCACCGCTGGGTGACTGCAAGGAACACTAGGGAACACAGCCTGGTTGTGTGACTGGAACAGGAAACAGGGGTTGCCAAGCACACAGGAAAATGAACCGAGGTTATCTGGAGGGTGCATTTCAAGGTCACTGTTTGCGTGGTGTGTGTTTCTCCATTCATTTGCTTTCATCCTGTTTGTCCCTGCAAGTGTCTTCTTGTAAACAGCGTGTCACTGGATCCTTCTTTAAAACAAAGAAAAAAAAAATTCATCCTGACAATCTGTGCCTCCTGAGTGTTTAGTTGATTTACATTTTATGTAATTATCGATACGGTTCTGTTAGGGCTACCATCTTGCTATTTATTTTATATCCTACCTTTGTTCTGTCTTACCTATACTGCCTTGAGCTGGTCAAGCATGTTTTAGTACTTCATTCTTTCTCCTCTGTTGGCTATCTATCTATCTATCTATCTATCTATTTATTTATTTATTTATTTTCATTTGTTTATTTATTTTGAGATGGAGTCTCACTCTGTCATCCAGGCTGGAGTGCAGTGGTGCCATCTTGGCTCACTGCAACCTCTGCCTCCCTGGTTTAAGTGATTCTCATGCCTCAGCCTCCCAAGTAGCTGGGACTATAGGCACAGTCACCATGTATTTTTAGTAGAGATGGGGTTTCACCATGTTGGCCAGGCTGGTCTAGAACTCTTGACCTTCAAATGATCCACCCACCTCAGCCTCCCAAAGTCCTGGGATTACAGGCGTGAGCCACCACACCGTTTAAGGGAAAATCTGGAAAGCAACCGGAGGAGAAGAAAAAAGCAAAAATTAATCAGAAGGGTAAATGACTTCTCATAAAAGGAGAAGATAATGAAAGAACATTTCTGAGGTGCTGCAAGACAAAAATTCTTAACTTAGAATCTTAACTAGATGATTCTAAAATGAAGGTGAAATAAGATTTTTTTCAGTTGAGTGAAAGCTGAGAGGATTTGTTGCCAGCAGATCCATATCCCCAGCGACGCTGAAGGGCGGTCTACAGCTCAGGGAGATGTTCCCAGATAGAAACACTGATCTGTGGGGAAGGTGGAAGAGCAGTGAAAATGGGAAGTCTGAGCGAGATTCCTTCTCAGAAAACAAAAGAGGTTTTCCCTTGACCTTTTGTTTTAAGCAGTATGCCTTGGTGGGATTTTTTCTTTGTGTTTATCCTGCTAGGGTTTCTTTTTCTTTCTTTCTTTTTTTTTTTTTCCCCCCGAAACAGAATTTCACTCTTGTTGCCCAGGCTGGAGTGCAATGGTGTGATCTCAGCTCACTGCAGCCTCCGCCTCCCATTTTCAGGCAATTCTCCTGTCTCAGCCTCCCAAGTAGCTGGGGTTACTGGCGTGCATCACCATGCCTGGTTAATTTTGTATTTTTAGTAGAGACAGGGTTTCACCATGTTGGTCAGACTGGTCTCAAACTTCTAACCTGAGATGATCCACCCGCCTCAGCCTCCCAAAGTGCTGGGATTATAGGCGTAAGCCACCACACCTGGCCTCCTGCTAGGGTTTCATCCAGATCCTAGATATGCAGGTTCATGTGGCTGATCAGATTTATAAATTTTTGGCCAGTATTTCTTAAACTATTCTCCTGCCCCATCTTCCCTTTCCCTTCTTTGGACTGCAATTGCACTCTCTCCATTTGCTCACTACCTTCCCAGTGAAGATTGAAGCTTTGTGCACTTGTCCTAGAAACTTTATTTTCCATGCCTTAACTTTGGTATCTATGTTATATGTAAAAATGTTTAGAAACAGAACACTTGTTCCCTGGTGCTGCAAAGAAATAGCCCTTGAACATAAACTTAATTATCTCAGCAAGGCTTTTTGTACTTTCTGCCGAAAGGGTGCTCATCGCAGATGGAACAGTGGTGAGAGCACATCCGAACAAAGGAGGGAAGCAATTTTTATTCCTTATGCAGTTTGTCCCTGCTACTGTGTCCTGTCTCCATTGCCTGGAACCAGACCTTACAATCTAAACTAAAACTTGATTGGCTAATCTTAGTTTAAAACTTTTCTAAATAGGTAAAAATAATGGAAAGACAAAGGAAAATAGGAAGTTGTTTATGAAAGGACTTAGAAAAGTAATAACATTCCCAAAAAGGAAGGGGTACAGGCTGCGAGCTGGGACATGCCTGTGAGCACATCCAGCACGGATATTTCGGTTAAAGTACAAGGACATAGAATGTACTATGTGCCTATGAGCACGTCTAGCATAAAGCTAATCTTTAAAAGAAACTATTATTTCTAACACTTATGATTTATTCTTTAATAAGAATGGAAACTTTGAAGAGGAACATTTTACTTTCTACATCTATCAACACTTCTTTATATTCCCTGATCCTTCCTTATATTCTCCATCTGATAAATGCTTAATTTTACATACCAAAATTTTTACTTTTAATATTTATACTTCACTCATCATTAGATTTCCATGTCTTTTTTGAAATCCTCCATTTCTCCACTCATTATATCTTAGTTTTCTTGCATATAAATTAACATATTTATGCTACTTATTTAAATAATTTGCCTGCAAATTTCAGCATCTAAACACTCATTCATTTGTTTCCATTGATTTTCTTCTGTTTGACTAAGGATTACATCTTCCTTCTTCACTTGCATGTCTAGTAAGTCTTGATTCTGTGCAAAGCATTGTGAATGCTATGTTACAGAATTCTGAATTCTGTACCCTCTCTCAGAAAAAGCTGAGCTTTGTGCCAGCAGGCAGGCAAGTTGCAATCACTTTTGATTCTGTGGGTGCCTGGTTTTAGACTGTATTAGAATGGTTCTATG